TAATACTAAACCTATAAATATATGCACATAGATCTATTTCCCCATCCTCATATATAAATATATTTACTTATGTACATGCCCATATTTAGACCTCTATAGGTGCCATTTGCCCCCTAGTTCTTTCCTCTATTTCCTTTTACTTTCCTCCTGTCCTACTGTCATGTTCAGCCTTCATTTGGGTTTCAGTAATTCCTCTCGGTTACATTGCCCTTGACCAAGCCCTACCAGGCCTCCTACACTCTCCTCAGCATTGATTTTAGATCACTTGTTCCCTTGTCCTTGGGTTTGTTAACACCACTTCCAAAGTGACAATTTATGTACAGTGGTAAGTTCAGAATATGCTGTTCATTTACTCCTGCTTCTTGAGCTCATCCTTCCCTTTCCTTCATTTTTCTACCATTGCAATGTCTGAGTCAACCCAGGTCTACACAGAAGGCTGTCAGATACAGCATTTCAGTGCTTGATAGTATGAGCTATCCTGTAAGTGGAATGGATCTCTACTGGTCAGTTGGTCAGGTAACTGTCTTCCAAATTTTTTGACACAGACAAGTGAGTGCTTCCAGTGCTGCTTCAGTTGTTGAAGCATTTCAGTTGTTATTGTGTCAATTCCAGAGCTCATTTTTGGCTAATGCTTTCAGTGCAGCTTGGACTTCTTCCTTCAGTACCATTGGTTCTTGAGCATGTGTTGCCTCTTGAAATGGTTGAATGAGTTCTTTTTGGGACAGTGACCCTGTGTATTTTTTCCATCTTTTTTTGATGCTTTCTGTAACATTCAATATTTTACTCATAAAAACTTTCAATATTGCAATTATAGGCTTGGGTTCTTTTCGTTAGGCCTTTCAATTTAAGGTGTACTGAGTATGTTTCTCCTCTGTGGTTTTGTCTATACGTCCCTGTGCATTTAATTGTTTTCCTTTGTCTTCTCGAGCTGCTCTTTGGAACTTTCTGTTCAGCTCTTCGACTTAATCATCTCTTTCATTTACCTTAGCTCCTTTAAAATTCAGAGCAAGTTTCAGAGTCTTTTCTGACATCCACTTTGATTTATGTTTGTACCCACTCCAAAGAAAGGTGACCCAACAAGAATGTGCAAGATATAGAACAATATCCTTGATAACACATGTCAGTAAAATTTGGCTGAACATCATTCAACAGCAATTATAGCAGTACATTGACAGGGGGATGCCAGAGATTCAGGCTGGATTCAGAAGAGGGTGTGAAACAAGGTGTGGCAGTTACATAAAATGTCAACTTGTGAAGGGGTGGAGTCTAGTCTGTCAATCAGGTAATAGCCAATGAGACCTCTGTGTGGGCATGGCTTTCTCCAGAGGATTCTGGGAACATCCTCCCTGGAGGTGGGACACACATACTTGCTAGGAGACATTCCTAATGACAGGACACACAGCGCTACGTTTATGCTGATGGAGCCAGAGCCTTGGAGCTGGAGGAGCGACGTGGAGACCCACACCCGCCGAGATGGCATCTAGCACCTCTGGATCCCCAAGACTTTCTACCCACTGGCCTGTGATCTTACCACATTCAGCGTCATTGCATGTGTTGCGTGAATCTGAAAGGAATTTATAGACTGGTGTCAGACATATGGGCTAATATTGGACTTTATAGACTGATATCAGACAGGTGGGCTAATATGAGACTTATAGACTTGATCTGGACTGGGCTGGGATGTTTTCTCAATATACAATTGCTCATTTATTATAAAGCTCTTTCTCACACACATATGAGTGTCACTGGATTTGTTTCTCTAGTTAATCCATACTAACACATGAGATATCATTTCTGATGTCAAATGGATCTTGGGTGAAAGCAGAGAATACTGGAAAGATGTGTACTCGTGTTTTATTGACTATGTATAGGCATTAGACTAGATGGATCATAACAAACTGTGGA